TCTAAAATAGATTTTCTTTTTTTTATTTCAGATCGAAAACATGGTCTTGGCAAAAAATAATCTCGCCTTCCCAAGTAGATGAAATAGGGAGACATAATCGCGTGGTTGTGTTTTTCACAAAAATGTTGTCAATCTGAAGCCAGCAAAATTGTTCAGCTTTGTTAGCTGACGGATTTCCCAGCATACCATAATAAAACCAAAAATAAAATATACTTACTCACAGAAACTGATCTACTAGGATTTCCCCAAAACACAGACTCTATAAGGTAAGACATCTTTGTGTATTCTTTTTTTTTTAAATTTAATCTTGCATTCTCTGTATTTTTTCAGCATATTTTGATACATTTCCTGTGAAGATAAAACATCCGAGATTTAATCGTATCCAGAATATACCTTGAGCTTGGTTACTTTATTAATCGGTGTATAAGTTAACCTATACTTAATAATAACCCATAGACCAATTTATACCCACTTTAACATTAGTATTATAATAACACTTTATTTCAACGACCGAACGGGGTATCGAATAGAAAAGAAACGACTAACATTAGTTTTGTGCCGCTAAGTCACACACAATTTATATATATATATATATATATATATATATATATATATAAAAACCTTTATGAAGTCGTCAAAAAACAAATGTTAGCGAATTATGAGAGTTTTTTTTTTATATACACACAACACCTTTTCAGGGAAAAAAAATAAGAAAATAAAATAAATAAAAATAAATCTCCATAGACACTTAACCAGACTGGACGATGTCATCTTCCGCTTTGAATTTAGACACCCCAGCCTTACCCTGACTTGACCTCTTTGAATGTAACTGAGATATTGATACAAATTATTAACCCTTATGCACCTTTTTCTTTAAATAATTGCTCTAACCGTTACCATAGTAATTTTAATTTTAATAATGAATATGGTTATAAAACGCGTAAATTTCAGGAATTAGTTATTCAAAAAAAATCTCGCTTGAAGATGGAACAGAGCTTGATACTTTAATTCAATTTAATTCACATAATTATATTGAAGATTTCGGCTCTTGTTTTGAAGTATGAGAACTCTTACGTAGCGATGGATTCATATTTTTAAGTAAATAATTATATATATAGAGAGAGAAAATGAGGGAAAATAGAGTAATACCTATAATAATAATTCTAAACGGTGGTACTTCTGTGTTTCTGGAGAAGACACACTTAGGATGCCAAATTCGAACGGGTAAGATTTATCCGCTATTTCGCTACTGAGGACAAATTTCACTAAAACAGGAAATGGCGAGTCCTATTTTTTTCTCATTTTGCGGACTGCGAACTGGATATATTTTCTATATCTGGTAAAAATTTATTTCTTTAGGAAAATGTCCGCAGGTGTTAGTAATCTGCCCAAAATATCTGATGTGTAGGGGCAGATTTAGCCTTAACATCTGCCTGGTTTGACTCCGGGAAATTGACTCACTGTAGGACTGGACACTTACCTTTTTTTTTTTTTATGAATTGACGTCACAAAGAGGTTGTCGTGTGACCCACTTGACTTTATCTCGTTCAAAGGGAGACAATCGCCTTTTGTATCCCTACAATATCAACAACATTTTTCAATAAGTAAAATGATTATGTTAGAAGCTGGTGATAATTGCTGATATGAACTCATTGAAAAGCTATCAAGTATTAGCTGACCAAACGCAACATACACCGATACAAACACATCGGAATGAGAAAAAAAAATCTATCACGTAGATTAAAGTGTCGAAATGGCCTCAAAGTCATCAGGATTGATAGACACCTGAAGAAGACCGGTGAAAACAACCGAAACTTTAGCGATGCGGACATAAGTCCGGATCTAATTAATGTAAATAATGATCTCAAGGCCTTCAGTAGACGGCTTGTCTTGTAGAGGGCGGGGCAGAAATAACTCCCACATAATAGTAACATGTTTGTGGTAATCGTGTCTTTATCTAATATCCTCCCATTATGTGGGAGGTATTTCTGCCTCATATTTTATTTCTTTTCATCATATAAATCTGTCTTCCAATTACATTCATGATAACTTATTGTAAGGAAAGGTATACACCTCTAAGTTATTACTCTTTATTTTGACCTCGGATGGACCTTCAGCGGGTAGTTTTATTTTCACTTAGATTAGTAGAACCCCGTTAGAAAATGTAGAAAAATTTAGTAGATTTAAGTAATATCACTAACCATCTCAACTGACCTATTTTTGTGCAAAAAGTAGTCTCCAGATTTGAATTTACATATTCGCATTTATTAACCAGTCAGTGACTTTTTTTTCAAAAGACTTTGAAATTTCAGATGGCAATGTTTGTTGTCGGCAACGAAATTTGAGAGATTACTCTATAAAATAAACAATATTTTCCTACCTAAAAATAGATGGTTAAAAATTGGGAAAATTATTTATTAACCAATAAAATCCTGAGTTTAGTCATTCTAAATTTTAGCTTCCGTGATTTATTTTCTTCTATAAGTATTCGTCACGTTAACAAGTGTTCGCTGTGGTTGTGAACAACTGATTGCTCTCACCTTTCTTATAATTAATTACTCAATCTTTCACATATCATATCGAGTATATTCTTGCAATAAAGTAATGTAAGCACCACGTAAAACATACGGAGATATGTCACCAACAATATTAGTAGTAGTTATAACACAGTTCTCATTTACTGACTGCTGACATGCAGACTGCTGAAAATTACACACATTCATAAAACAACGTAAATACAGTCTTGTTAAATAAACATATGCTTTTCTATCATACTAACGAAATTAGTTCTCTTGCGTTGTAAAGAACGAAAACACAATATTTTATGGAACTGTTTTGTGAGGATCATTGTAATTGGTTTCTATCAATGTGAAAGAAAACAAATGATCAATAAAAATTTATACAAAATTTTAGAGCAGTATTTGAAGATTATTTCTTTCTTCCCTTTACGCATGCGTTTACCTTGCACATTCATTCTGAAATTCACATGTTTTAGCAATTTAAAAATAACTTCAGATATTAGTGTATACGTTGTAACAACGAAGACTTACCCCACCACAAGCCTAGAGTATATCCGTGTAGCCGGTGTTAATCAAGCCTATCATGTTTTATAGCGGCGGAAAAGGCGGGGAAAGAAACTAGACCAGGTTATATCCCCCGGATATAAAATGAACCAGGCTAGAATATAACCCTTCATTCTCTAATGAAATTCTTTTTGTAATTTTATATCCAAATATAATAGCAGGGGTATACTATGGAACTGATATCTTGTGCGAAATCTAAAGCCTTAAATTTTATACTGATATGGTGGTTTGCACATGAATATGCTTAGCTTCTGGTCACTTATTAATTCTGGTCGACCTTAGCTTTTTATTTTTTTAATGGTTACATATCAGCCATTATTAAAAGTTTGTAGATTAGAGTCAGAGTTATACCTAATGTTAAACCTGCCCTGGACTTTATTTTCTACCCCTTGATTGACTAACTTTTTTTTATTATTCACTAATATTTGGCTTAATATTCCTCTCCCAATTAGTGAAATTTCTCACTGTTTTTTTTTTTTCGTGTGATTAATTTTCCTCATCCAGAAAACTGTAAATATCGTCAGGACTGGTCACATACCAAACCCCAACTGTTGCATATTTTATTTGGGCGGGATATCCCTTACCAAAAATTCTGCAGATTTGTCTTTTGTAAATTTAGTTTTAAACTGTTATATAAAACCCTGTCTCTGATTGATAAGATTCTCTTTTTGAAATAGAAATGGTACAGTTAGAAAAAAAAATATTGATAGTAATATTTAAATCGGGTACATTTTTGCAGAGGTGGGGTAAACTTTAAGTCCTTCTTTATGTGCCGTGTCTCGTCAAAACGTAGGCGATCATGGCTCTCCACAAGTTTCTGTTCTTTATAGCCCTTAATAAACTGTCTTTTTGTTATTTATCCTAAACATTGTTCCGCCATCCATTTACTCAATCGCAGTATATTATGCATTGTTTTTCTTGGTATTGCTTGCCTGTGAGTATCAGATTTTCCAAGCCCTCTTTTCTCATTATGTGCACAAGAAACCTCAACTGTCAGTTCCTGATGTATAAATGTCCTCTTTGTTTCGATTTTCTTTAAAACTTCGTCTTTGCTCACATGCTCGGTACATGGTATCATCAACATCCTTCTGTAGAACCACATTTCTGTTGGTTTAAGTCTTTTCTTCAACTTTGAAGAGATTATCTCACACTCACTGCAATACAGGAGGACAGATAACGAAACAGTTTATTACGGCATATCAACACCATTGAGGTGTTGATATGCCGTAAAACAAACCAAACCAACCATGCATTTTCTCTATTAGCAGTTGATGTTTAGTCCTTTCTTCTCGCTTTCCTTTACTGCTTTCTTCCGGAGATTTTTGTTGATTTATTTCTATGACTTCCATCAACGCAGTCTCATCTACATACCTTTTGTTTTTAAGATTCTGGCCGCTAATAATGAATCCTGATTGAACTTTTATTCTCTCTGAATCGGCTAGTCGTATAGTTTGAATAAATCCAGTGAGAAGACACATCCATGCTTACACACTTTCTATTTTTGTATATATACTGAACTCGTTTTCTATATACATATGCAGGAGGTTTGCTGCGCGTAGGCTATTTGAAAAAAAAACATAAGATTTGTGTTATTCTGTACAATGCCAAATCATATATGGTTGTAATATGGGATGAGGCTTATTTTGGCCGCTACACCGTGTTTGTAGTATAATGCTATTTGAGTTTTTGCCATCTACAGATGTTAAGGTTAAGTTTCCCCTTTCATGAATTGAATGTTTTCAATAAATTCTGATGTTAATTATTATTTACTCTTTTTAGAACTTTTTTCACCCCGGCACATTTTGTCATTTTTCTAGTTTATAGATTTAATTCATTAACTTTGTTACTGTTATGGAAAATTAATTTCTATTTTATTTCTACTATCACTGAATTACGCAGTCTTAGTGCTACATCACGTTCAAACACCGCTCTCCATACGATTACCGAAGTTAAGCAACGTCGAGCCTGGTCAGTAACTAGATGGGTGACCGCTTGGGAATATCAGCTCTTGTAAGCTTGGTGAACTGATTACTGCTCTGAATTGTCAGTCGCAGAGCTGAGATCCAATTCCCGCAAATATCATTGATAAATATATGAACCCAACTCTTCTACCCGATCCGTGGGATAAATAGTAAGACGTGTATCACTAAATCATTATTATCTTCAAAAACTCTCAGAATCTAAAAATATTTTCTGGCTTTATATACCCTGCAGACGGTTGGTTGTGTTGGAATGTGTCACGAAAAAAAATGATTCCGTCTCTTTCTCTCCTGCTGTCGTAGCGACGGACACAGTCTCCACTTCTGAGACTGAAAACTATTTTCATTCAAGCCTTTCACATAGAGCTTGGTAACTCACCTATGCAAAACACCAATAAGCCAGCTAACAATCACAGTTCCCGCGCCTGCCCACCTCAACTCACTTTGGGGGTGTCAAGTTGACCGACCAACTCATTACAAGCTGTAGAAAAACAATCAGTACTGAATTATGCTGGGTCTTTTAATAAAAATACACACACATATATATATATATATATATATAATTTTCAGTTAAAGTGTAACTGTAAAGGAACAAAATAAATAAATAGTGATGGGGAACAAATATTCTTAACCAGCACGTTTTGTCCTCTGAGGGAGTTTATCAAGAAAATTGCCTTGATAAAACCCCTCAGAGAGGACGAAATGCGGCTGCTAAAATAGTTTTTCCTCTTCTCTTTTTAGTCACAATATATATATATATATTAAGAAATGGACAAAGTCCGACAATTTATTAAAGACATTTTATGAATGTCCGAGAAATTTTCATAGAAAATATTCGCCGTTTGACAGATTCTTGAATCTGCATCCTATACGGAACCGTCATTTACATGACGGGCCTTTACCGTGAATGTCCGGTAATGTTATTTAATACGAACCTTATTATAAACAGAGCATTTTACTTAAATACTTGTATATTATAAAAAAGAACGTTAATCATAAAAATGTCTTTAATAAATAAATTGTCGGACTTTGTCCATTTCTTAATATATATATATATATATATATATATATATAGTGTAAATAAAGTAACTAGCACTGATGGAAACATTACAGTTGAAAATTACTTGACTATGTTTAAACATTATTTTTATGTCTACAATTCTTCAAAACAGTTTTGAAAACAACTGTTGTAACCAAGTAAACGGTTAAGAAATAACAAAACAAGAGGTTGCAGATAAAATGTGCATTGAACAGTAAATACAACAGAAGTGTATTACATGACTTGGGAATGTGTGTCGGTTGACCAGCGTTCAGTGTATACAACTGTTCCCCGGAAGCTTACTTTCCTACTAATTTTATAGTAACTGGATGCGTCCACAATAGACTTATTAGAGGGAGGACACCACAAAGAGAACCAAGTTCTGCATTTTTATAACAATGTTTTTCTCTGGAAAATTAACAAAACGATTAGTTTCGTGGAGTGATGCTGATGGTTGGTTTGGGCCAAATTATCCCACAGGAATAAGTAATTTAGTGAAAGAGGGGATTTAGACTTGAAGAAAAAAATCAATGATGAGAAGAAGTGAACAAAAAGTCATATGTGAGGTGGTTTGTAGAGATTCATACTACAGGTTGCCCCCCCCAAAAAAAAAATAGCAAGAAAATTTAGATTTACTTTATCATGAAAAAAATTAACTAACATATAAAAAAATAACTATATATTTCACTATATGAATGAACTAAAAAAAAAACATATAATTTTTTTAACGATTTGATGTTTCCATGATGCGCAGTTATCAAATTGTTAACGCGTGATGACTCTTCTCTTTAAGAAAGAACATCCAATTGGGGGACTAAAAAAATAGCACGAAATTTTAACAGAAGTTTTTGTTTCAACACCACATGCAACATTTGTGTTTTTGTTCCGTTTTAAGCTACAAACATCTATCCTTGCTTTTGTTTCAAATAACTGTAAGAAAAATTGCAACAATTAAATAACCTCTACCAAATTTCCTTTTTTTGTGGGGGACTCTGTATTTCTTCCGATATAACAGAACAGATTGGTCGTGAATTAAATAACAGATATCTTCTCATTATATACATTGACTCATTGTTAAAAGTTAGAAAACGAAAGGCTCATCAAACGCGTAAGGCGGCAAAAAAAAACAAAACATTTTCCCAATTTAAACAATCAGTCTATTTTCTTGTAACATTGAAACAACTAACTTTTTAAAATTTAAATCCTTTCTTAATTTCAGTAAATATTCAATTTTCTTTCAGTCAAACACCAACATAAAATATGAGTTCGACATGATGATGGTCGCAGTTTAGGAAACAAAAAAAAAGAAGAAAAATAGAAAGTAATAAATTTCGTCATGATAATCTTATTTGGAAATCAGATGGAGGAATTTTCCGAAGATAAATTTTCGCAAATATTCTGAAAGAATTTTTATTAAAGATAATTTTCGTGTAGAACTGTAAAAATTAAAATTGGTTTTCTTTATTTTATTTTACTTTTTTTTTGTCTGAAATAATTTATTGTCAAAAAGAAAATCAATAAAAATGGCAAATATTCTTTTAATTTTGAAATGCTTCCCTTCACCTGATGAAAAGAAATCAATATGCCGATCAAAAGGTTTTGTCGGGTTATTCTTGCTTTCACGCACTGAACACGATCAATATGAGTGTAAAGTTGATCTTTGTATGAAATCGAAAGTAATTCGAATTAAAAAGGGGTAGAATAAAATTTTCTGTCAGAGTCGAGAATATATAAGTTAGAAATATTCATACACGTATTGTCTGTGTGTGTGCCTGGGAGAGTTAGAGAGTGATAGACACGGAGTTAGAAAGAGAGACAATGAGTAATAAAAAGAGTCACAGAGTTAGAAAGAGAGAGAGACACACACACACACATAGATATAGAGAGACACAAACAGTTAGAGAAAGAGAAAGGCAGATAATAACAGAGAGAGAAATACACAAAGTTAGAGAGAGTGACATACAGTAGAGAGAGAGAGAGAGAGAGAGAGAGATAGAGAATTTTAATTTTATATTCATATAGAGGAGGCTAGAATCAGATTAGAAAACTAGATTATATATATATATATATATATATATATATATATATATATATACGGAGATTGTAGGATTTCATTTTTAAGTCTTTTGAGATTTGCCCCTTGGGCTGTCATCGGTGAAACTCCTCTATTACGTTCCAAACGGCTTATGAATTGAGTTGGATCTTTTCTAATTGATCTCTTTAGCTCTATGTTGAAATGATGATAACTCTTCCTGTTGTAACCTCCTCATCCAGATTTCATCTCTACTGTTCCCCTTTTTAAACGTATTCACCGTTCTCTTGATGGTTCTTGAATGTACTTTGAAGATGGAAGCCAGTGTATGACTGTTCGTACCATTACTGAAGGTCTAAAAGATTTTTTTCCTTTTCACTATTGCTAATTTTGGAAGTCATGGTGGGGCTGGCGCAAAATGATTTTAACCTGTTCTCTTTCTAGCTGAATAATTCAAAGGGTTTTTTCAGTGAATCTTACGACAAATTGTATCAGGATGGCTAAACATCTTATCTGAAAACCTGGTGAAAAAAGAGACTCAATTAGTTTAGGGCTCTTTTAGTTATTAAACAATTTGTGGGATGGACAATTATGCTCTAAAAGGATTTGGGCAATTTTGTTATTACACCCGGTATATATATATATGTGTGTGTGTGTGTGTGTTTTGTTTGTGTGTGCATCACACACACACATACATATTTATATATATATATATATATATATATATATATATATATATATATATATTTGGGTATTTAGACAGAAATTTTCTAAGAAGGCATTTCTGATTAAATAAGTTACAAACATTATGTCTGTTATTTTTATCATAATCCTTTCATATTCATGAATAATATTCGTGAATATGAAAGGATTATGAAAAAAAATAAAATTTCGTGTTTATAATTAATTCAAAACAAACATGCGTGTGTGCTAATCGTTTCACCAACAAACAAAATTTTTTAAACCCACAAGGATCCAAGGTGGTTAGTGAGAAGGACAGAAACAGAGACAATAAACGAACAGGTTTCAAGGTGATTGAGGTTGACGACTGACATTGTTTTTAAATTTTTGAAGATCGTAGTTAACAAGAAAACAGGAAGCCAGAAAAGAGTTCTACAGGCGAGAATTGAGGGAGAAGAAGCTATTAGTACAGGATTTTCGGTAACAATTAGCATTTCAATAGTGAAATTGAAACTTCGCTGTCGGTTTTAGGACTCCGCTTACATTTGTGAAGTCGAGGTATCATGTGTGTGTGTGTGTTTGTTAGATAATTTTTAGAGTTGTTGCGATGGAGATATTACATATTTTTCCAGTAGAGACAAAAGATTTATTGTCATGTGCGGTCGCAAAAATCGTAAGAATATTAGAACAGAATGAAAGTGCTTCGCTGCCCAAGTCAGAAGGAAAAGGTCAGACAGGTGCACGAATAAAAAGTTATTGCTTTGAAAAACCATTCTAAATGACATCGAAACAGATATATTGTTGATGGAAAATGTTTGCTACATGATAGCATAGACATTCGGAAGTAATGGCTCTCAAACACAAGAAACATATCTATATATATATATTTCGTTTGCTGATTTTCTTTACCGGCATATCAAAATATAGGGGTTAATTAACGCCGAAATCTAAACATTTTGAATACATTTGTATGGCTTCAACTAAATATGTTTGAACGCACTTGTATGACTACAACTGAATCCATTTTGAAAGCAACTGTATGGAAGCAACTAAATATATTTTGAACACAATTTGATGTCTTCAATTAAATATATGTTTGAACGCACCTGTATGACTTCAACTAAATCTATTTTGAAAGCAATTGTATGGATGCAACTAAATATATTTTGAACACAATTTGATGTATTCAATTAAATATATTTTGAAGGCAATTGCATAGATTCAACTAAATCCATTTTAAATCCAATTGAAGGACTTCAACTAAATATATTTTGAACACAA